CAGCCACAAGCTGGGCTGACGGCTGGCAAGTACAGTGGTGGTGGTGGGAACCTCTCCCGCCTCCGCGGCAGCACTAAGGATGTCCGACTCGGGGGGGAGAGCGGGCCTAAGCCACAGTTGGACATCCCCTGAGGGCTCCTGGACTGCTAAAGGGCACCGGCCAGGCTGAGGTCCGCGCCCCCCCCCCACCCCCACCCCCCCCAGTGCACAACAGTCATGTACTGGGCCTCTAGTTTCAATATAAAAACCTATTCTACTCTTGTTTCAATTTTCAGAGGAGGAAAGTAACTGATTTCAAAATCACTAAGTAATTTGACGTGTAGTTTAAAATGAAGTGAAAAATTACAAAGGCCAAATCAGGTATGACAAGGATATACAAAAGAAAGGTGAATCAGTAAAACTGCAGCCATCATGTTCCTAATGGAACATTTTATTCTCTCATCATAAATATTAAGTCATGGCAGATACAACTCTTCAGCTTTATGCAAATTTCATAGAAGAAAAATATGTAGATTTGTCATTTTTCTTATCTGTAATTAAAGCTGCATTTGAAAAGGTGAAAAGGTTGTATAATTACACTGTTATTAGATGTTTCATGAGCTGATATTGCGCAGATAAGGCCAAGTGGCTCTGTAACTTGAGTGTTAATTATCTGCAACCCGGCATACAGGAGGCCCCCAAGGATATTATTTCTGAAGCACCGGCCCTTCTCCTGGCTTCACTGCTGTTAGTGTCAGCAAAGCTAGAAACTCTGCCTTGTCTGTCCTGTTTATTCATAGAGGGAATAGTACAATTTTAGCAATATTCTTGCTTTTCATATATAATAGTTCCTACTTTTGAAATTATATCTCATGTAGCATTTTTTAAAATATATTTTATTGATTTTTTACAGAGAGGAAGGGAGAGGGATAGAGAGTTAGAAACATCGATGAGAGAGAAACATCGATCAGCCGCCTCCTGCACACCCCCTACTGGGGATGTGCCCACAACCCAGGTACATGCCCTTGACCAGAATCGAACCTGGGACCTTTCAGTCCGCAGGCCGACGCTCTATCCACTGAGCCAAACCGGTTTCGGCCTCATGTAGCATTTTAATAACCTTTTGCATTCATAGCTCACTTAAAGCATATAACAGCCAACTTGTTATTAACTCTTTTTGACAGCGAGAAGTTAGTGAGAGATGAATACTAACAAGTGGAGAATGAACGCCACCAGGATTTTCAGTTATTAATAGGAGTTTGAGCAGATGCTTTTTGATACAAGGGACAGGCAATGAAAGGTCTTGCTTTAAATGGCATGGGGAAAATGACATAAACACACTCTAAAAATTCCAAGTAAATGGTGGAAACAAGAAAATAGAATATCATGTGAATATTTTTAAAAAATATATTTGGAGAAGTCTTCCACTCAAGCTCGGTAGGAAAACAAATCAAAGTTGTTACACACTAATTACAAACCATTGAATTTTTTGTCATTTACTTTACTGTAGGCATCAAGTGTCTTTAGCTGGATAAGAACAGAACAAAATAGCTACTTGTTATAAAGTATAAAGTGAAGGGTGCTGTTTTTAAATCTACCATCTTTTTGTTACATAAGGAGGCCATCAGGGAGTACCTGAAAAGAAGTTGGGCCATTGCTACACAGTAAGATACTAGAAATTTTAACACAGCCTAAGTATTTTCACTAAGAAACAGCTTTATGATTGGGGATTTGTGTGACTGACAATATATGTATACAATTATAACCCTCCATTGTATCTTAAAATAGAAAACTCATACTGAAGACTCAAAGACATTTTTAATTAAATTTATTTGGTGACACTGGTTAACAAGATTATACAGGTTTCCAGTGCACAATTCCACAACACATCATCCGTACACTGTATTATGTGTTCACTACCTCAAGCCAAGTCTCCTTCCATCACCATTTTCCCCAAAGCACTTACCGCACTGTTGTCTGTGTCCATAAGTTTTTCTCTTTTTTGCTCAATTCCTCCAACCCCTCTCGCCCAGGCGCTTTAATCCCCCTCCCCACTTACAGCTGTCAGCTTGCACTATAGTCTGTCTCTATTTTGCTTGTTAGTTTATTTTGTTCCTTAGATTCCACTATGAGTGAAATCATATGGTACTTGTCTTTCTCTGACTGGCTTGTTGCACTTAGCATAATGCTCTCCAGGTCAATCCATGCTTCCACAAAGGGTAAGATTTCCTTCTTTATTATGGCCAAGTAGCATTCCATTGTGTAAATATACCACTGCTTTTTAATCCACTCATCTACGGATGGACACCGGGGCTGCTTCCAAATCTTGGCTATTGTAAATAATGCTGCTATGAACATAGGGGTGCATGTATTCTTTCAAATTAGTGTTTTGGGTTTCTTTGAATAAATTCCCAGAAGTGGAATCCCTAGGTCATAAGGCGGTTCCATTTTAAATTTTTTGAGGTAACTCCGTATTGGTTTCCACAGTGGTTGTACCAGTCTGCATTCCCACCAGCAGTGCAGGAGGGTTCCCTTTTCTCCACATCCTCTCCAACACTTGTTGTTTGTTGATTTATTGATGATAATCATTCTGCCAGTTGTGAGGTGATATCTCATTGTGGTTTTAATTTGCATTTTTCTGATGATTAGTGACATTGAGCATCTTTTCATACATCTATTAGTCATCTGTATGTTCTCTTGGGAGAAGTGTCTGTTTAGGTCCTTTGCTCATTTTTTAATTGGAATGTTTGTTTGTTTTGGTGTTGAGTTGTGCAAGTTCTTTATAAATTTTGGTTATTAACCCCTTATCAGAGATATCATTAGCAAATATATTCTCCCATTCAGTGGGTTGTCTTTTCATTTTGTTGATGGTTTCCTTTGCTGTGCAGATTTTAGTTTGATGTAGTCCCATTTGTGATTGCTTCAACTTTGTTCTTTCTCAAAGTTGTTATGGCTATTCAAGGTCTTTTCTGGTTCCATATAAATTTTTGGAATAATTGTTCTAGTCCTGAACAATACACTATTAATATCTTGATAGGAATTGCATTGAATCTGTAGATTGCTTTGGGTAGTATGGACATTTTAATGATGTTAATTCTTCCTATCCATGAACATGGTATATGCTTCCACTTATTTGTATCCTCTTTGGTTTCTTTCAGTGTCATACAATTTCCAAATATAAATCTTTTACATCCTTGGTTAAATTTATTCCTAGGCATTTTATTCATTTTGAAGCAAATATGAGTGAGATTGTTTTCTTAGTTCCCTTTCTGATAGTTAATTATTGGTATATCAAAATCCAACTGATTTCTGGATATTTATCTTGTATCCTGTTAGTTTACTAAATTTATTTATCAGTTCTAGTCATTTTTTGGTGGAATCTTTAGGGTTAGGATTCTCTACATACAGTACCATGTCATTTGCTAATGATGACAGTTTTACTTCTTCCTTTCCGATTTGAATGTCTTTTATTTCTTCCTGTTGTCTGATTGCTGTGACTAGGATTTCTAGTACTATGTCGGTCTTATTCCCAATCTGAAGGGACACACTTGTAGTTTTTTTTCTTTGAGTATGATTTGGCTGTGGGTTTGTCACATATGGCCTTTATTAGGTTGAGGTGTGTTCCTTCAATTCCCACTTTGCTGAGTTTTTTTTGTGTGTGTATGTGTGTGTGTTTTTGTCATGAATAGATGCTGGATTTTATCAAATATTTTTTTTTTTTATAAAAAAATGATCTATTGATAGGATCATGTGGTTTTTATCTTTCATTTTGTTCATGAGTGTAGGATATTGTACTGACCTTGCATCCCTGGAATAAATCCCATTTAATCATGATGTTTGATCTTTTTAATGTGTTGCTGAATCTGATTTGCGAATATTTTGTTCAGGTATTTAGCATCTCATCAGGGATATTGGCCTATACTTTTCTTTTTTTGTAGTGTGGACAATGGGAATGTAGGTCTACTCATAGATTTCTGATGACACTACAAAGAGTGTCACCAGAAGTTTAGGGGGAAATTATAAAACTAATCATATTGGTTAAGACTTCCTTACTTAAGTAAAAAATTTATTCTTCTGTAACTTTAAAGCATCAGAATTGCTAACATTATTAAAGCTTGAGCTGTTGACCATCTAAGGCCTACATTGTACATCTCAAGACTCAAAAGAAAGAGAGGACTATCTTTCTCTTCCCCATTTGGGCACTTATTGGAAGACTCAGGTCACGTGCCCTCCCACCAACAAATCAGTCACTGCCCAGAGGAATATAGGACAATGAGAGACTCAGCAGGAAGGTGGACACCATGAATGGCCATGCCCCCCAGGCTCTCCTCCTCCTTATGCATTCTCCAAAGGAAAGGGGATGATGGTACCAGATGACAGAGGATGGGAAAATGTTCTAAACAAAATAAAAGTGATTACAACCCAATATTCTAAGCATGTTCTTTGCTGTGATAATATTATTGAGAATGCATCCCCCAAATATTGAAATGGAAGTTGGGGGGCGGTCTGTGAGATTACTGTATCAATATGTCATAACTGTGTACATTTTTAAATAAATAAAAAAACAACAACCTGGAAATGGTTCAAATGCTCAAGTGCTGAGGAATGATAAAGGCACTTCTGTGTATTATAATAATAAGCCATCTTATCCAATTAAATTTACTAAAGATTGAGGGTATACTTGGTCCAACTGAAAATTCAAGGATGGATAAGACATACTCCCTCCCTTTCTCTTATCACTATGTGGTACTACTGATAATAGCAATGAGAAATTTTTATTATTGTTCATCCTTACCAGAGGACTCTAGTATTTTTTCCATTGCTTTCAGAGAGTGGAGGAAGGGGAAGAGAGGTGGGGAGAAACATTGATATGAGAGAGACACATTGATTGGTTGCCTCCTGCACACACTCCAACTGGGATGGGAAGCAAATCACAACCCAGGTATGTGCCCTTGCTGAGGAATCGAACCTGAAACCCTTTGGTATGCAGGCTGACGCTCCAACCACTGAACACACCAGCCAGGGCACAGTGGGCATTTTTTTATCACTTACCTGTTGATAGGCAGTGAGTCAAGTGTTGCATTATTACAGATTCAATCCTTTGAACAATATTTTGAAATAGGCACTTTTGTTACATCCATTTTATCGATGATGAAAACTGATTTTAACTTCCCTCAAGTCACATAGCTAATACATGATAAAAAAAAAAAAAAAGGGACTCCATCCAAGGCCTTCCAACTCCAAAGCTCAGACTCTAAATCAAAGCTGTAGGAACAAAGAGAGAATGGTTATTTTTACAGTGTTATTGAATTACGATTTGGCATGCAATACACTGCACACATATAAAGCATACGCTCTGATAAGCCTTGAAATGCAACTGTGAGGCCATCTAATCTCCTTTCTGTAACTACAGATTAATGTGAATTTTTATAATTTTATATTTGTTTGACGTCTTTGACCAGCCGTGGGCAAACTACGGCCTGAGGGCCGGATCCGGCCCGTTTGAAATGAATAAAACTATTGAAAAAAAGACCGTACCCTTTTATGTAATGATGTTTACTTTGAATTTATATTAGTTCACACAAACACTCCATCCATGCTTTTGTTCCAGCCCTCCGGTCCAGTTTAAGAACCCATTGTGGTCCTCGAGTCAAAAAGTTTGCCCACCCCTGTCTTTGACTCAGCCTAATTATATTGAGATTTATCCATATTGCTGCATGTATCAAAGTTCAGTTCTTTTAATAGATGAGAGTATTCCATTGTTTGGATATACCATAATATGTTCATTCAGTCACCTGTTGAAGGAGGATTGAGTTGTTTCCATGTTCCAGGTCAGGACACATGCCCGAATTGTGAGCTCGATCCCCAGTGTGGGGTGTGCAGGAGGCAGCTGATCAATGATTCTCTCTCATCATTGTTGTTTCTCTCTCTCTCTCTCTGAAATATAATAAAAATATTTTTAAAAATAAGTAGAAATAGTATCTCATTGCTTATGTTACTTTTATCTTTTAAACAATGTGCTGGGTGAGCATTTATTTTTACTCTTACTATCTTTTATTTATTTGCCATATTCTATTGGTGGTGTGCACCTTTTCCTAGTGAATTGTAGAAACCCAATGTAGATTTTAATACAGCACTTTGTAGTTTATATTCAAATGTTTTTTCCAGTATGTTGTTTTTAACTTTACTATATATAGTTTTCATGGAAATGATACTAATTTTTATGTAGTCAAATTTATTTATTCTTTTCCTTTATGTAATCCTGGTTTTACACCATACTAAGAAAGGCCATCCCTATTCCAAGATTATATATTTAATAATCTATGTTTTCTTCTAGTACTTTAAGGAATAATTTTTTTAATATCAAATTTTGCTTTGTGAAGAATTTATTTTGGCGTAAGTTGTCTAAACATTATTTATTTGAAGAATCTGTCTTTTCCCCTCTAATGCCACCTTCATCACATACCAAATTCCTATATCTATTGAACTTTACTTATGGATTGCATTCTGTTCCATTCATATTTTTTAGTCATATGTAATATTATTTTTAAGTGTGGATAACATTCACAATCTTGCCCTGAGAAATGAGTGTGCATCTGTCTTCTATCTGCATCTTATCAAGAGAAAGATAATAATTGCTCAGCTTAGTATTTTAGTAAACCCAAAGCAAAATATCAGTCTTTCAAACACACTATTTAATACCTAATACTAAGTATTATATTTATATTAGATCAAAATAACAACTCTAAAAGTGTAATAATATAGGATAGCAGGAAAATTCTAATTTTTTAGCATCAGTGAATGAATGGACAGTACTGTCTTTAGTTACCCTATTTAAGACTGCTAACATAAAATCTTTCTGTAGCTTTATGGTCTCCTCCGAGGAGTGATTGGCCATTGTGCTTAGTGCAGCAGTGATTTCTGATTGCACTGCAGCTCTTGTTCATTAGGCCTGAGCTAGAATGAGCTTGCACATTTTAATTAGACTGCAGAAGGGTGCAAGTAGTAAATGAATCTTGGCACCTTTTCCAGATTGGCACGTGAAAACCCAAAAGGCACCCTTTGTCCACAGTCATTTCTTCAAATACTGAAGAATTAATAATGCTTCTCTTTAAAATATGTTAAACTTGGAAGACTGGAGAACAAATCTTTTTATAATAACAGGGTCATTATGCATGAATCATCATTTGTCTACAGGTCTAGCAGGTTGTAAGAGTAGAGTTTTCCATGGCCTCCAGCCTCGGTACAAATGGGGTCATAGTAATAACAACCTCAAGCCCTCATCCTTTAGTGTCATACATTTTAGATGAGTTCTTTAAATACAACATATAGCTAGTTTGTGTTTTGAAACGCTGTTTGACAATCTTGTATTTCAAAAAGCAGTATAATCCATTTCATTTATCATGATTACTCATAGACTTGGATTCATTTCAACCATATTGTATTGTTTTCTACTTTCTGTGTTTTATTTGTTCTTCCTCCTACTTTGCTTGCGAATTTATTTATTTAGTTGATTGAGTTTTCTTTACTCACTTTTTTCTTTACTGATTTGCAAGTTTCTGATTGTACTTGACTGAAAATATAAAATTAGTCAATATCTCCTCCTCTTTAAAATGTAAGGATTCTGATGTAAAAGCCCACACCACCTCCCTCTTCCATGTTCATTCAGTTTCTTAATTTCACCTTATTTTTCCAGTTCTTCCCTTTCCTTTTATTTTTATATAATCAGATATTAATTTGATTTATTCACATTGTTTGCACATATTATTCTTAAAGCCTATATCTTACTCTGGCTTAAATTTTTTAAAATATATACTTTTATAAAAATTCAGTGACTTGAGTGTTATAAATTTAATCTTTGCTTGCTTAGAAGGGATTTTATTTTCCCCTTAATCTTGGAGATAATTCATCTGGGTATAGATTTATAGACAGAGTTATTTTTCCTCAATATTTAAAATTATTATTCTATCATCTTATGATAGTCAACATAACAAGCCCACAGTCAGTCAGTTGGAATTTTCCCATTATAAATGTACTGCCTTTTCCTCTTTCGTGTCTTCTAAATTTTTCTTTCTGTATTCTGTACTTTGATGATAATGCATCTACTTCTGCATCTCATTTAATTTATCCAGGGGGGGAACTTGGTATACCTTCAATCTGAAATTGTGTCTTTTCTTCGCTGCCTCCCCACCCGCCCCAGGTAGTCTCTTTCATTCCAGAAGATTTGCAGCAATTTTCTCTTCAAATAATGATGCTCCTCTATTCTTTTCTTGTACAACTGTTTTGAGGTATACATTTGACCTGTTAATTATACCCTTCATATCTTATAAACCTCTCTTTTGTGTTTTCCCATAGGCCTAAAAACCAGGAGAGCCAATGGTGTTAGTTCCAGTCTGAGTCCAAGTATGACCAATGTACAAATTCTGAGATAGGCAGAGAGAATGATTTCTTTCTTAGCCTTTTACTTTATTCAGGCCTTCAACAGATTGGATGAGGCCCACCCACACTGGGGAGAACAAGCTGTGTTACTCAATCTACTGATCAAAAGATAATCTCAACTAGAAACATCCTCACAGACACAGCCAGAAATAATGTTTAATAAAATATCTGGGCACCATGGTCCAGTTAAAATGACATGTAAAATTAACCCTCACAATTGGTTCTTACCTGCAGCCAAGACTGAGCACCACAACTCTAGGTTTGAGAAAGAATGAAGTTAAAACCTGCAACTGTCTTCAAGGAGTTAACTAACAGTCATCTTAATGGTCAGGTGCTTCTCACAATAAGTAGGTTAGAGAATGGATAAACACATCAGCTTGGCATGAGGAATGAGAGGAAATGAGATTCTATCAAAGGTTTGCTTTAGTTATATCTAGAAACATTCATTTTTTCCATATCCTCATACAAGAGAAGGGGATTCTAAACATGTGAACAGGGATTTTGAACTCTTTTAAGCAATGAACTACTTCAAAATTCTAATGCAGGTCTGTTGCAGTGAATAAGAAAGATGACTTTAATTTTCCAGCATAATTTGAAAACTTGCCATTTAATTACTAAATATTTAAAAACTTTTCAGTATGTTCCCTCTTGTATTCTTATAAACCTTTTATGAGTTGGGGAGAATCAGTGCAGCACTCATGAATAAGTAAGCACAAAGACTGCATTGATGCAAATTCAATGATCATCACTATTTTGTTTTGTCATTTGGCAGCAAGAATCAACTTAACATCTAAACACAATCAGCATTGAATTTGTGATGTTTTATTCTACAGCTTCAAAATTCAAAATACAGAATTAAATCTGTTTATCCTCTGGTAGTACATTTAGGCACCAAAGGCAAACAATTGAATGTGAATTCTGTTTCCTATTCTCCATTTAGTGAAGCATCTTTGTCACAGCAACTGGGAAAAGGTAAATGAAGAGATGAGAATGGCCAGTGATGTATTCTTATCTCAATCAAAGACTGATTTTTTACTGCTTTGAGGTTATATTCAAACTAAACTCAGACCTAACCACCCCTATTGGACAGAAAACAACCTCAGAACAGACTTAGACCACCTGAACTCTTAACTTTATTTTCTTATTCCATATGAATTAACTAATTTTGAGAATATTATCAAAGCTCTCTAAGTCTCTTTTTATTAATTTATATAATAGCTCAAATTTATGATTTTGTCTAACTCTCCAAATTCCATAAAAATTATACTACTGGGGTAAAATAACAGTAAATGGGTATGCCCTTTTCCCATCAAATCCCTTCCTACTTCTCTAAAGGTAACTACTGTACTGACTGTTAAAAAAATTATGGCAAAGTACACAGAACAAAATTTACCATCCTTACCATTTTTTAAATCCTCACCTGAGGATATACTTTTCCCATTGATTTTTAGAGAGAATGGAAAGGAGGGAGGGGGACAGAGAGAGGGAGAGAAAGAGAGAAACATTGATGTGAGAGAGACACATCGACTGGTTGCAACCCAGGTACATGCTCTTGACCAGGAATCAAACCTGCAATCTTTCAGTGCATGAGCTGATGCTCTACATCTGAACCACACTAGCCAAAACTATTCTTGACATTTTTAAGATCAGTAATGTTACATACATTCTTCATCTTACAAAGTTGAACTCTCAACCCATTAAACCAGTGGTTCTCAACCTTCTGGCCCTTTAAATACAGTTCCTCATGTTGTGACCCAACCATAAAATTATTTTCGTTGCTACTTCATAACTGTAATGTTGCTACTGTTATGAATCATAATGTAAATATCTGATATGCAGGATGGTCTTAGGCGACCCCTGTGAAAGGGTTGTTCGACCCCCAAAGGAGTCACGACCCACAGGTTGAGAACCGCTGCATTAAACAATAACTCCTCATTATCACTTCTCCCTAGACCAGTGATGGCGAACCTATGACACGCGTGTCAGAGGTGACACGCGAACTCATTTTTTTGGTTGATTTTTCTTTGTTAAATGGCATTTAAATATATAAAATAAATATCAAAAATATAAATCTTTGTTTTACTATGGTTGCAAATATCAAAAAATTTCTATATGTGACACGACACCAGAGTTAAGTTAGGGTTTTTCAAAATGCTGACACGCCGAGCTCAAAAGCTTAGCCATCACTGCCCTAGACCCTGGCAACCACCTTTTTACTTTCTGTCTTTATGATTTTCACTACCCTAAGTACCTCATGTAAGTGAAATCACACAGTATGTGTCATTTTAAGGCTGGCATAATTTACTTAGCATAGTGTCCTCAAGATTCATTCATGTAGCATGGGTCAGAATTTCATTCCTTTTTAAAGGTGGATGATATTCTATGACATGTATATACAGCAGTTCCTCAAATAACGTCTCATTCAACATTTCATATAATGATGAGATGCCATAGGAGCTTAACTCTCATTTATAGTATATTAATTAGCCTATGGTAAAATTGGTTTTGTTACACATCATTTCGCTTACAGTCACAGAACCTATCAATACAAAGTGAGAACTTACTGTATCATATTTTGCTTATCCATTCATTTATCTTAATTTTTTAAAAATCCTCACCTGAGTATATTTTTCCATTGATTTTGAAGAAAGAGAAAGGAGGACAAAAGACAGAGAGAAGGAAACACTGATGTGAGAGAGACACATTGATTGGATGCCTCCCGCACGGGCCCTGACCAGGGTCAGGGATCAAACCTGCAACCAAGGTAGGTGCCCTTGAGCTGAACTGAACCCAGTACCCTTCAGTCCGTGGGCTGATGCTCTATCCACTGAGCTAAATTGGCGCCATTCATTTATTCAGTTGCTTCTACCTTTTGGATATTGTGATTAATGCTGATATGAGCATGTGTGTATAGATATCTTTTTTAGACCCTGATTTCAATTATATTGGGTATATTGCCAGACATGGAATTGTTGGATCATATGGTAATTCTATTTTTAATTTTTCAGGAAGCACCAAACAGTTTCCACAGTGGTTGTACCACTTTATATTCCCACCAGCAGTGCACGAGGGTTCCAATTTCTCCACACCCTTGTCAACATTTGTTATTTTCTGTTTTGTTTTTTACAGTATGTATCCTAATGGATGTAAGGTGGTACTTCATTGTGATTTTGAGTTGCAGTACTCAATGATTAATGATATTGTATATCTTTTCATGTACTTCTTGGCCTTTTTTTATCTTCTTTTGAAAAATGTCTATTCAAGTCCTTTGCCTTTGGGTTGTTAGTTGTTGAGTTATACAAGTTCTTTAATTATGTATTTTTGATATTTACCCTTATTCAGATATATGATTTGCAAATATTTTCTTACACTCTATGGGTTGCCTTTTTACTGTGTTATTAGCTCCTTTGATGAACATAATTTTAAAATTTTGATGTGGTCCTATTTTGTCTTTTGTTCCCTGTACCTTTGAGGTCACTGACTAATTGAGTTTTGACAAGGATGCCAAGACCATTCAATGGGAAAAGAAATGTCTCTTTAACAAATGATATTGGGACAACTTGATATCACATGCAAAAGAATGAAGTCGGACCCCTACTTCATACCATATATAAATATTAACTAAAAATTTATTAATTAGCCACGTATAGTAGCTAAACCAAAAAAATCTTAGAAGAAAATATAGTAGTAAATCTTCATAACTTGGCTTTGGCAATGGATTATTAGATATCACATCAAAATCACAAGCAACAATAACAACAAAAAACCAGATCAAGAAGACTTCAGTAACATGAAAACCTTTGTGCACCAAAGGGCATAATCAAAAAGTGAAAAGATAATAACCATAATAGGAAAGAATATTTGTAAATGGCATATCTGACAAGGGACTAGTATCCAGGGCATATAATAAACTCTTACAACTCAACAACAACAAAAAAGACAACAACCTTATTTTTTAAATGGCAAAAACTTATACTAACATTTCTCCAAAGAACATGTACAAATGGCCAAGGAGCACATGAAGAGATGCTCAATATCTTTAGTCATTAAGGAAATGCAAATTAAAACCACAATGAGGTACCACTTCACACCCACTAGCATGGCAATAACAACAACAACAATGATGCACTACAACAAATGCTGATGAGGATGCTGAGAAATTGGAAACCTTGCACATTACTGGCAGTAAATAGTCCAGTTACTGTGGGAAACAGTTTGGTGGTTCCTGAAAAAGTCAAAAACAGAATTACCATATGATTCCACAATTCCACTCCTAGATGTATATCCCCCATAATTGAAAACACATACTTCAACATGTACATTCATGTTTATAGCAGCACTTTTCACAATAAGTGAATGATGGAAACAACCCAAGTTTCCATGATGGATGAATAGATTAAAAAGTTATTGTATATATGTACAATGAAATATTATTCACAATTTAAGGGATGAAATACATGCCACAATGTGGATGAACCTCAAAAATCTTATGATGTTAATGAAGCCACTACTTGCATTGAAGTTTACTAAATCCAGTTATGGATGGTGTCATGACACTGTTAGCCTGTGAGGGCAAATATTAGGCCATTGTGAAAAATTAAATTCTTAATTGGTCCTGTATTTTTGCTTCATTATCTCAGAGTTCTCTAATGGAGCACATTTAATTAGCAGTCTACCTCAAGTGCCCACATTTAAGATCAAGGGGGTAGGAAGGCAAATATTTGGCTTTTTCCACTCAATAGTAAGAGGCAGGCCTTACCTGATTTATTGGGCAAGAAATTCCTCAGCACAGAAATGGTGAGTAGCTTTTTCCTCCAAGTGGCAAATGAATACTACATAATCTGACCTTGTTTTGGATATTATAGGGCATGCATTAAGAAAATATTGAGAAAGGAGAAAAATACCTGATATCGTAGTGAAAAATTAGAAATGCCAGTGAAAAATTCCAAGAACTATTGAGAAAATTTATTAAAATGGCTGAATACAAGATGAATATACAAATACCAATAACTTTTCTAACTCATTACAAATGGAAGTGGAAATTTTTCCATTAGCATAGCATAAAAAAGAGTAAATTTTAAGCAAACATATGATAAAGAATTCTGTAATCTTACTGAAAGACATAAAGCAAAGCTTGACTAGACATACCATATTTAGCATGAGTGGGAAGAGTTAATGTTTCAAAAAAATTTCAATCTTTCCCAAATTAATACAGGAAATATAATCCAAATCAGAAGGGTTATTCATGGAAGTAGATAAATTTGTTCATATGAAAAAGGGCTTATGGAAAAGTTCAGATGGAAGAGGAAAATCTCTAAGAATATCTGAAATATAGAGAATAGTCAAAATGTTGTGAAAAACAATTGCCTTCAGATATCAACCTTATTAAAATCTACCGTAACTAAAACAGACTAGTATAGGCATTGAAATAGACAATTAGACTAGTAAAACAAATAGAGAAGCAGAAACTTACCTGCATTATAAACGTGACATTTCAATTTCATTTTAAAATAGTAGTTTATTTAACAAGTTGTATTTTATTATAGTTGACTACAGAACAATGTATATAGTGTGATTCTGTTTGACTAAAAGAAAAGTATGGGTAAAAGTATGAGTAAATCTCTATACTCAGACATACATACATACATACATACAGCCTGGGAGCATACATGTCAAATTTTAACAGTGATAAATTCTATGAACTAGGATTTGGAAAGGGTGTAGGGAGAAAATAGGCTTTCAATTTTCACTTTACATGCTCTGTATTATTAGTTTAGGTTGTATTGTCTTGTAGGTTTGTTTACAAAAGAGCAAGGCACAGTTTGATAGAATCAATAGCTTATTGAGCAACAAGCATTGAATTACTTTCACTGTTCTCTGCTGAAATGTGTCACGTGCGCCTAATTTATTTTTCAAATATCTACATTCTGAGTGGTGCTTCTTTATAAAGACGTTAGCAATTCTGGGGCCCTATCAGTTGTCTTCAATATCATCTTTCCATTGGACTAATATATAATTTTAGGCTCATTCTTTCTAGTGTTCAATAATTTTAACTAATTTCAGACATTCAATTGGCTTTAGATTCCTTGACATAATTAATGTATCATATTTTTAGTCATTGTTTTCTCTGTCAATGAAATCTTAATATCTATGATATGTCTTTCCTAATAGGACCAAATGTTTTTCAGTTTAGACTTTGATTTCAACAGCCTATAAAAAAAAACCCTTCATTTTGGACCTCAGCTTCAGCTGTTCTGAGTATCTAAGCCTGACTTTGTTCATCTCTAAATGATTACAATAGTCATACTTCTACATAAACTTGTGAGAATCATACAATACCTGGTATGATGCTTGGCAAATAGTAAATAGGTTGTGAATATGATAAAGATCTGTTTCCCAATATCTGAAAAAAATATTTCTTTGAAATTCTTCCAAATAATAACCTGGTCATTAAAATAAATTAAGTATTAGGTATAAAACAGTAATATAAATGAGATGAAAATGATTGAATAGATTCTAACATTATATTACAAGAACTTTAGCTTTCATTTTCTCATTTATTCATTCTTCTTAGCACCTCTGCTATATCCAAGGAGTCTCTTTTGCATGGAGGAAGCAGAGATAAAAATCAGTTGACCATCCTTGGCTGATTTGGCTCGGTGGATAGAGCATTGGCCTGCAGACTAAAGGGTCCCAAGTTCGATTCGTCAGGAGCACATGCCCAGGTTGTGGACTCAATCCCCAGTAGGCGGGGGTGGGGGGTGTGGGGTGGGGTGGGGGGTGGCGGGGGGAGGGTGCAGGAGGCAGCTGAACAATGATTCTCTGTCATCACCGATGTTTCTCTCTCTCCCTCTCCCTTCCTCTCTGAAATCAATAGGAATATATATATATATATATATATATATATATATATATATATATATATATATACACACACACACACATATATATTTTGAAAAGTCACTTGACCAAAGTTGTTAGCTGGCATAGAAGACTGTTAATTATCCCCAGCAATTTCTCTTCTCTTTCTGGGATGCACATAGTGCTGAGAATAAAACTACACTTCCTGACCCCTGATGCAGCTTTGTAGATGCAGCTATGTATGGCCACTTGAGTGCATTGAGGGCAATGGGTTGTAAGAAATGAATGTCACTAAAGGAGTGCTCTTTAGCTGTCTTTTTTATTTTTTATTTTAAGAGTATACTTTTAATAGCAGTTTTAGGTTCACAACATAATTGAAGGGAAAGTATGGAGATTTTTCCATGTACTTTCTGCTGAAAAACATTGCCAAAAGCTTCTTGTAGCATAAAGAATTACATTTTAAAAAGATTTAATGACTAATACTCTGCCCCTGAGATGATTATTTTTTGTAGTTACATATGAAAACCATAGAATCGTTTGATTGAGGCCACATTAATATTTTTGAATTCTATTACAGATTTTTGAAATATTAACTTTAAAATTTTGTATTCATAGTTTATATTGACCTAAACTGGCCACATTTAAGCTGCTAATTGTTCCTATATATACACCAGATGAAGCAAAAGATGGGAAAACATTTCACTGTGAAATGTGTCATCCTCCAGGAATTTCATCAAATTATCTTTGCCCACCAGCTACAATAAAGCTAATGCATCTACTAACATAAAGTAGTGCACTGGTTTTGTTGAGGTTTGTTTACTAGTCTAATGGTTATTTCAGTTAAGCCAGGGCTCTAAATGACAACCACATGGCTAACTGCGTTGTAATATGCTTCCTTTTCAATTTAGTCAGGTTCAGTTCTGTGTCTAACAGAACCAGTGTTTTACAAATGTTGTGATTGGTATCATATGAATGAAAACAAACTATTTTTTAAAATATTTGAACATATTAGATCTAATATCTATTGTGTTCTTTGCAAAGTATCTGTATATATAAAAGCCAATCAACTGGAACAGAATGATCGAAACGACAGGTCGCTATGACACACACTGTGGCAGCTTATCGGCCCCCCACAACCTTCCGCGGCCCTTCCCCCAGGCTGGCCTGGCACCCATCAGCCCCCCGACCCCCCAATCAGGGGTAGGGCCTCCCTCCCTGTGGGCCTCCCTCCCCTCCCAGCTGGCCCGGCCCCAATCGGCCCCCATCAGAGCAGGCCAGTTGGACCCCAGCCATGCATGAATTTGTGCACTGGGCCTCTAGTTGCTTTATAATACTATTAAATATCAACACATCATTTATTGCTCATTTGATAAATTCACTTTTGTATTTGAGAATGAATATTCCAAATTTATTATACATTTTTGAGACTAGAAAAGGTTAGATTGTTGGCTCTCTTTTCTGCAAACTTTGAGCTCTGTGATTGAAATGGAATTGGATACCTATAAGTGTCACTTGATTGAACTCTTGGTTATTATGGATTGACAATTTAAGTTATAAAAAATTGTGGCTTGCTCTATCACTCTTTTGGTAGTATCTTTTTTTATAAATAAGTCATAATTACAATGTACTCAAATTTATTAACCTTCCTTTATAGTTAGTGCTTTAGAAAACTTTCTATTCCCCAAAGTCATAAAGTCATTTTTCTATATTATCTCACAAATTTTTATTTCACTTAGATTTATAATGCATCTTGCATTGTTTTTATGTGTGATGTGAGGTAAGGTCAAGTTTACATTTTTTCATCTGGATGGGCTTTCTCTCCTTTCTGATCTGTAATATCACCTTTGTCATTAATCAAAGTCCATTTTAATGCAGCTATAATGTTAATAATAATAAATACAACAATTTGCCATTTAATTTGACAATACAAGGTGGGGTAAAAGTAAGTTTACAGTTGTTCATTTGGAAAATAATACAATTAATAAATAATACATGGGTAAACTCTGTTTCACATACAACTATAAACCTACTTTTGCCCCACTACACTCCATTGTACTTAAAAACATGACATTAGGAGTCCACTTTTATCTTCCTTACTTGTGTAGACATGATGGAGATGCACTGGTAATCCTATCTAATAAAAGAGAAACATGGTAATTGGCGTACGACTGCTACCCTTCCCATTGGCTAATCAGGGAGATATGCAAATTAACTGTCAGCCAAGATGGCGGCCGGCAGCCAGGCAGCTTGAAACTAACATGAGGCTTGCTTGCTTCAGTGACGGAGGAAGCCAAAGCTTCCCTGCTTGCCTTGCCGACCTCTCAGCTGCACTCTAAGCAACTATGTTACAAAAATAGAAGCTAAACAAAACCCCGGGCTTCAGCCAGCAGGACCGCAACATTGTTTCAAATACAGAAGGGTAAACAAAGGCCAGAAACCTGCTTTCAGCAGTGGAAGTCTCATAGCTGGAGCCGAGCCTCAGAGCTAAAGCTGGCCCAGAATGAAAAAAAAAAAGGAAAAAAGGACAGGTTGGGAGCTTCAGTCACCCGTCAGCCTGAAAACGGCCCTCAGCCCCTCACCCAGGCTGGCCAGGCACCCCAGTGGGGTTCCCCACCCTGATCCAGGACACCCTTCAGGGCAAACCAGCCGGCCCCCACCCGTGCACCAGGCTTCTATCCTATATAGTAAAAGGGTAATATGCCCCCCAGCACTGGGATCAGCGGAGCTGCGAGGCCTCCCAGCACCGGGATCAGTGGTGCAGCAAGGCCTCCTGGCACCGGGATCAGCGTGACAGGGGGCAGCGACCAAACCCCCCTGATCGGCCCTGCTCTGTGTGTGACAAGGTGCGGCGCCCCAATCCCCTCCCCCCCCGCCCCCCACGGGCCCTGCTCTGTGTGTGACGGGGTAGAGCCATAACCTCCCCATCGGCCCTGCCCTGAGTGTGACAGTGGCGGTGCCCCAACCCCCTGATCCGCCCTGCTCTGTGTGTAACAGGGGGCGGTGCCCCAACTCCCCTATCAGCCCTACTCTGTGAGTGACAGGGGGGAGCTCCCCAACCCCCTGATCAGCCCTGCTCTGTGCGTGACAGGGTGCGGCGCCCCAACTCCCCAGTTGGCCCTGCTCTGAGCCCGACCAGGGGCTGCACCTAGGGATTGGGCCTGCCCTCTGCCACCCGGGAGCGGGCCTAAGCCAGCAGGGTGTTATCTCCCGAGGGGTCCCAGACTGCGAGAGGGCACAGGCCAGGCTGAGGGACCCCCCCTCCCCCCCGAGTGCACAAATTTTTGTGCACCGGGCCTCTAGTCTATATATATAAAAGGCTAATATGCTAAGTGTCCAACCATCTGACTGGTCACTATGACACACACTGACCACCAGGGGGCAGACGCTCAACACAAGAGCTGCTGTGACACGCACTGGCCATTTACAGAGAAACGCACCGTGCCCACAAAGCAACACTTGGCTTCCCCCAAATGGGACACAGGCCCTGCCACCACCCTGGAGGAACAGCCCACCAAATTGCAGCCAAAGCTGCTGAGACCCCATGGCGCAAAATGCGGTCCACAGTCCAGCCCAGCCCATAAATGGTCACTATGGGTGCTGGGTAATGACATCACATAGCAATGCCCAGCTTCCTCTCCCTAATGATGACTAGCCTCTTTGCAGTTTCTTCAGCCCAGAAACATACTTGCTTTATAGCCAGGTGGAAACATTTTACACTTTAACCAAATGTCTGTGAAGCATTTTCCCATGCCTGATCTCATTTGATCCTCACAGAAGTCCTGGAGTAGGTAGACAGGAGACTCTGTGGAATCCTATTTTCTTTTCATTAGCTGGAAAATGGGGATTTAGAAAGTTTAGAAACTTGACCTGACTGAAAAGAAGTAAGAAATGGTATCGAGTGATCTACAGTAATAATGGGCTTCATGTTGATATTTACTGCTGTGTTGCTGACAATTACCTGAAAGAGAAGTTGGGGTGCTTCACTGGGCTGGAAAAAGTTTAGCTAAACCAGAAAGCAGGTCTAATTAAGCAAGTTTATTCTATATCTATAAGTTGACTCATACATGCGAAATACATATAAAGCTCTTGCTGGCACCAATCACACACGTGTGTTTCCATCTGTCATTGTCGATCATGAATTTGGTTGACACTTCTATTATAAAGAAAGGGAGAATAGCAATATTAAAATATTTCTTCTAATTAATTTCCTTTCAATGTGCACGAATTCATGCACCAGGCCACTAGTAAGAAATAAAATAAAACATTGCCCTGTGGCAATGCACAGGACACCTGCAATGCTGCTCAGTTATAATTGCATCATTGTGATGGACAGTGACACCAAGCAGAGTGTGAGGTAGTTATAATACTACCTATGATCTCTGCTGCCCCTGCTCAACTCTGCTGTCATAAGCAAATGTGTGATTGTGTTGCAATGAAACTTCATGCAAGGTCACTGAAATTTAAGTTTTAAATAATTTTCAAGTATCACAAAATATAATCCTTTTGATTTTTTTCAACTATTAAAATGGAAACAACTGACGGATGTTTCTCTCTCCTCCCTCCTTTCCTCTTCCTCTAAAAAAATAAAAAACATTTATAAGAGAGAATAAACTGCCAAATAATTTTATAAAAAGCCATCTACTGTATTTTCCAGTTGCAGATTCATGCTTGAACATTAGCACTCTAAAAACTTCTGCAATAGAGAAACTTGTGTATTTTGCCTAAGCCAGATGTAATGAACCTTATTTATTTTCCAGAGAACTCTTACTTATTCACATTCCTTTTTGAAGCCTTAAAACCAAAGTGTGGTATATACTTTGAGAAATGTTGATTTGCCCTGGTC